CATCTACTGCAGCTATTAATTGACCATCTGTTGCATCTACAAATATACTGCAGCTATCAATTGAATATCTGTTGCATCTACTGCAGCTATTAATTGACCATCTGTTGCATCTACAAATATACTGCAGCCATCAATTGAACATCTGTTGCATCTACTGCAGCTATTAATTGAACATCTGTTGCATCTACAAATGTACTGCAGCTATCAATTGAACATCTGTCGCATCTACTGCAGCTATTAATTGAACATCTGTTGCATCTACAAATGTACTGCAGCTATCAATTGAACATCTGTCGCATCTACTGCAGCTATCAATTGAACATCTGTTGCATCTACTGCAGCCATTAATTGACCATCTGTTGCATCTACAAATATACTGCAGCTATCAATTGAATATCTGTCGCATCTACTGCAGCTATTAATTGACCATCTGTTGCATCTACAAATATACTGCAGCTATCAATTGAATATCTGTTGCATCTACTGCAGCTATCAATTGAACATCTGTCGCATCTACTGCAGCTATCAATTGAACATCTGTCGCATCTACTGCAGCTATTAATTGACCATCTGTTGCATCTACAAATATACTGCAGCTATCAATTGAATATCTGTTGCATCTACTGCAGCTATTAATTGACCATCTGTTGCATCTACAAATATACTGCAGCTATCAGTTGAACATCTGTCGCATCTACTAATTGTTTGTATGCATGTGATGTTAGTTGGTACAAATTATTTTCTCCTAGTATGTAAATGAAAAATAATCCAAATTTTGTATATTAAATTGTTGGGTTCTTTGCCAACAGTCAACGGAAGAGGATAGCTACAACTTTATTTCAATAATATAATTAAGTAAAATGGCATTTTCAAAAGATGAGTACTCTGTGAAATGTTTTTGTATTTTTTATTTCAAGCATTTTATATTTAAATACACCCAATTTGAAGTTTGTTTTTGAGGTGCAAACACAACAATTCTTAGTGCCAAATTTGCTTAAATGGAACACTGGCAAAATTCTATGCTGACACGTAAATAGACTCACCTCTCCCCCATCTCATCCACACACTATAGTTTGGTTTATTATCATCTTCAAGTAACTGTATGAGATAATATTTGTTGTTATTGTTCATTAAATTTGTCTGTAAAATAAAATAAAAGAGAATGTTATATGTTTATGACATTTCTCGGTTGAAATATTACGAGGTTGTTATGAGAATACTGCAAAGTAGGCAAGAAGGCAGTACAATGCTTGTATTGACCAAAGCGTAGTGTTTCCATACTGCCCAAGTGCTTATATTTTGCAACACTCATGTGAGCACCCTGTGCTTGTAGTAATAAATTAATGAGAAATAACAATCTGAAATGTCAACAAAAAAACAGTTCACGTTGTGTAAACATTTGCGCTCAGTGATGAGATTGTATTGTTATCACAAGCTGATAATGCTTCTGTGTCTGAAATAATCAAAGAAAATTTTTTTAAATGTGAAGTAAGGTGACACACAATTTCCAAATAAGGAAGGCATTCAAATGTGTTTGTAACACTTTCGAACATGTCCATATGACGTTTCAAAGTCAGATATATAATAAAATACTATACACATCAGCATAGTCAGTTGTGTTCACGGCATACTTTTTGTCCCTCAATATTTGAGTCTGGCTTTCTATCTAGGAAAGTGTCTTGTAGACATGCTGATGAGGTGATAGTTTTACCAAAATCCATAACTTTACTCTAATGAGAGCTTTAAAGACCCAGTCATGTGACACTATAAACTGACCTGGTTAAGCATGGTATTATAGATATCATTGCCTTCCCAATATACATGTGCAACCCCTATCTTCTGTTCGCATTCTGAGTCTACAGGTGCTTTGCCTTTCACTATGACAGTCTTCATACCTAATAACACAAGCACAATATAATTAGGAAACTTGTACACCAACATGTTTTGTAGCATGTCTCGCAATTGCTTGGGCAGCAAGTTAGCAAACTTTCTCACTTATTCACTGACAATTCTGGTTTTGAATAACACAACTATTTTTTGCATACTCTTCAGTCCTGTAAAACCTCCTAAACTTAAAATATCTTTTTTTAAACATCACTAGCATTTGATGGTGACAAAATGAAGGGTAATAATCAAATTGTAGGTCGTCATTAAACATCTTGGGTACAAAACAGAAAGTCAAAAGCTATTTACAGCTGTTCTGAGAATTATTCGGACAGTCAGCAATATATCTTGGAACTTTGCAAAACACTCTATTTTCAATTCTAGACTTGTATTGACACGCCCACAATTGGGATCATTCCATTATCTTGCTAGATGCGGGTAAAATTCCGTTTTCAAAACGACACATGTTGGTTACCATACATTAACAGTTTATATGTTGTATATGCATTAAAATGTTATTTTAAATTGGTATAACCATCTGAGTCCACCTGACATAATGCAATTTACAAAACAAATTCCGAGTGTTGAGTAACCCCAGGTATTGATGAACTTTGGGGGGAAGGCTCAAAGTAAAGTTTCTTAGCATTGGATGTGCTGCAGTTTCGCGACAGTTTTGAGCCAAACTAAAAATTGTTTTTACATTACTTGCATTATGTATCAAATTTAGATTTCATACCGAGGTAGGAGAGTACGTCAAGGATACATGGACGGAAAACTTTTTCAACTGCAGTTTGAAAATGACGAGGGTATGACAACCGTTATTATGTCTAGTCCATTTTTGTAACAGGTACAACTGACTAAAAAGAGTGAGGGGTTGACATTTTTTGACAAATTTAAGCAACACCCAACTTGCGATTTTTAAAATTACTGAAAATAATTACAATATAAATATGAAAAAATAAAGAATAGTTTCTGTATATGCATGCTAGATAATACTTGCAATTCACCATGCCGACAACCCCTATGAAATAGTAATCCCAAACCACGTGCCCGTCAATCAAGTTGCGTCCACAAGTCTAGATTGAGCAAAGATCAAAGTGTTTTGCAAAGTTGCAAGTCATTTTGCTAACTGACTCTCGGAATAATTCTTAGAATGGCTGTAATAATATCAATATTAAAGAACTAAAAAGTAATGATATTTAAATGTATAATGTCCCTTGTTTATTTTGTGATAACATGATATTTTATATTATTGAAAATATATTATACAAAATATTTGAAATCAGAAATATCAATGACTGATATTTTCCTTTAGCATCGTATTGTATTTTATTACTGACATTTTATTGCAATCAATCAATAGAAATTATTTTTAAGGATGCAATATCATTATTATTGTTAAAGTTAAATCTGGTCACTCAGCTATTTTCAATCATCACAGCTTACTGATCGATTTCTAAAATAAAGCAACAATACACATCTTAGATAATAACAAAATCCACTGGAATCTTACTTGATTTTGACGTTGATGATTTCACATCATTCCCAGTATCCTCTTCTTTGACTTTGTTTTTTGATTTCTTAACTGGAGCCTCAGATTTCACTTTAGCTGTACTTGCCTTTGCTGCTGCAACAGTCTTTAGAGGTTTATGATCTGTAATACAAAGCAAAGAAAATAATTTCTTTCATCATTGCCCCAATATACCATACTTCTGAATCTGATTATCTCCCTGGAAATTCAGTTATCTAATCACTAGATTAGTGATTAACAAGAGTTTCTCTGAATTAATCCGACACCCTAACTTATATAGTTTCAAAGTATGAGCAACTAACAAATGCTTAAAGGGTTATAGTAGTTTTTATTTAGTGTAAAACCTCATTTGACCCACAACATGAAAATATGTTGCTATGAGTAGTATGGGACTCTTATTGAGTAACAGCAACCACAAACATTTGAGTTTAATTTCAACCTGTTTTTTTTTTCATTATAAATACTATTATTGTTGGACAATTTACGGTAATAATAAGTATTTACAATACAGTTTAAATCAAAGAAAGCTTAGAAAGAACTCCCGTGTGCTGAGAGTATTGAAGACACGTTAAAAATTAATTCAAAATTACTTGTACTTGAAGATATTGATGGAATAGCTGAAAACTAATTATGTAAATCAGGTAAGGCCACACTGATTTAATTTTATGGATGACATCCTCTGAAAACCCCAAAACTAATGCGAGAGGGCAAAAAAAAAAATTCTGCCAAAAAAAAATGCTGCTAAAACCACAGGACTACGGAGCCGTTATTACGAATTGAACCACAGTGTATCAAAAAAACAACAAGTCTTTATTTGTAGGAGGCACATGTTGATGTACACATCTCGTACTGTATTACTGTCACAGGTATCATCACCTTTGATTTTGAAAAGGCAAGAGGATAAAGCAGATGTTAGCTTTGCCAAAGGCATACACATCAACTCAATAATAAAGAAAAACTTACTGTGTTGTATTGAAAATGAACAATAAGTTGGTCAACAGCAACCTGGAAATTAACATCTTTGACATTCAAACTACAGCTTTTAAAGTGACACTTCACAAATGCTCTAGACCTACTTCAACTATGTAACAAATTATAAGAGGCTCGATATTGAAAAAAAA